TAGTAAGGTCAAACAATATATATATATATATTCATAATTTTTGAAAATTTAGCATCGTTAGGATTGAAAGTCGAATCAACAAATTCAAAATTATATGTCAGAGTAATATAATACTCGATATAATGATTCAAAAACACAAATTTAATGCAAAAAAAAATGCAAACCTTGGAAATTAAGTAGAAATAAAAATAAAATATTTCTAAAAAAGCATAATTTAGAATAAAATCATCCTTAAAAATTAAAAGTTCTCTAAATTATTTTCATCCTCTTAAAAAATATCTATTTAAAAAAAAAATTTATTCTTTTTTTTTTCTAGTGATCATTATATAAACCGATCAACCATATTTATTACATATTAGGCTAAAACACCAATTTAAGTCAAGGTCTCAATTTAAATTATATTAATATTAGATAAAAAAAAATACTCAAATTGTTAACATATTTTAAAATAAATAAATAAATAATTCATTTACAAAATTTCAATAATCATCAATCATAAAACAAAGCATACATTCCTCAATGTTCAATAAATGCAACCACATGGGACCAAGCAAGCTTCTTGAAACAACCTATCTACACTTAGGCCCCCTCCTTATAGACAATTGAAAGCAACAAATCCATGGTAAACAAAACAGTACAATATTTTGCCTGCTTATAGCTCCTTATGGACGAGATTTGCATTTATACCCTCAACAGAGACAAAACAAATTTAATTCGTTCCTGTCTGTTTCCTTGCTACATAAAGTTGAAATCTTTTGCAAACTAATATTGACATCTTTAACCTTACTCATATTTCAAAAAACATGCAAAATTTTCTCTTTTTATTTTTAATTAATTAATTAATTATTTATTTATTTATTTTTTAATTTCAGCAGTCATTATCTGAGTAATTTACAAGGGACAAGTGGAGTAATAACTAAAGCAATTAATTCTTTTTTTACTCTCAAAATTTTCATAAATTCTCTTTGCTTCTCTTTCATCTTGGGAGAAGAGTAACAGCCAAGAATGGTTTGTTTACAATGATAGGAGGCCGAGCAATTCACTGCCATCCGTGGAGTTTTAAGTATTTATAAATAGAACCTTGGAAGTAGGGGTGTAAACGGACATAACATGGGTTCTTGTTCGGTTCGTTTGAAATTTAGTTTGTTTGAAATAAGCTCGTGTTCGAAATTGTTCGTGAAGTCACTGTTCATATTAGTTTATTAATGAATGAGCCGAACACGAGCTGTTCGCGAACGACGAGCCAGTTGACATCCCTAATATTAATATGTATAAATAATATATTATATTAATTATATAACTTATATTAAAATATATAATATCTATATTACTATATTACTAATATAGTATATTAATATATTATTATTATTATTATTTTATTATATTTAATTTTTTTAAAATATAATAATTTTTTTAAATATAATTATTTTATATTTCGAATAATAACGATTTGAAAACGAACAAACGCATCATTGTTTGTGTTTAGTTCGTTTAACTAACTGAACGAAAAAAATTTGTTCATGTTCGTCTCGTTTACTTATCGAGCGAGTCGAACACGAACTCACTGACGAACCGAACACAAACTGTTCCCGAACAACGAGCTTTTTTGACAGCCCTACTTGGAAGTGACTCTTTTTCAACTAATGCTAAATTATTGGATGAAATATCTAATTATATAAATTGTCATAACATTATTTGGATATGTTATTGTTAGCTCATGAAGTGTCTTAAAAATGTTGTATTTTCTTTAATTTAATAATTAAAAGGATTTATTATACCTATAAATAAGTTAATAAATTATTACTTTAATTAATTATTTATTTATTTTTCTCTAAAAAATATAATGTTCAGTTTTTGTTTTTATTAGTTTAATTTATGCATGAATAAAATTGAGGTGTTTTAAGAGACGTTATTGTATCTGAATGTTATTTATTGATTTGGTGCTAAAATGTAATCATAAAAACGATGTATTCTCTAAATAGATTGTTTTATAAATAGTAGTTATATGTATTAGGAAAAATAAGTTTAATTTGCTAATGAGAGGATATTCATATGAAAATGAAATGATTATATTCACATTCAGTAGCTTTGCTATATGTAAATTGATGTCAATGTCATGTACTCATTATAGTTGATGTGCCATAGGTTGAATATAAATAAATAAACACAATTCTTGTGTATTTAGGCATTCAACACCTAAAGTTTTATATTTACATACATACTTACATACCTATATACAAACATGTGTGTGTGTCTATATACTACCTACTAAGGATCTGTTTGGGGCAGTTGCAGCTTATTGAATAATCTGCTGATAAGTTGATTAAAAATAATTTGGTGATAAGCTAGGTGCGGTGACTATTATAATTTTTTTTTTTTTTGGAAAAGTCAGACCGCTGCTAGAAAACCGTCACCGCACCTATCTAGTTGCGGTGTGAAAACGCTGTTTTTAGCATTTTCAAAAAGCACAAGCTGCCAAAACGCAGTTTACCCAAACATGTCAAGTGCATTTTCAAAACATCACCGCACCAAATAGGATGCCTCAAACGGACCCCAATTTTTTAAAAGTGAGTGTTAGATGTACGAAGGTTGTGAAAAAATTGTATAGGACATCAAATTGAAAGAAGTAAATATTTAAGGTTCGATGATTCAACCAGAATTTAACAGAACACCGAACTGAATGATATATTAAATATTTTAATTATTTTAATATAATTTAAATAATAAAATATGATATATAAATAATTTTTTTATCGACTCAATGAAAAATATTTTAATATAAGACATTAACTATAAAAATTTTGAACAATATTCAAAATAAAAAAAAAATTAAATACATAATATTTTATCTTTTTTTTTAAAATTTAAATATCCTATTTCTAGTCATCCAATCAAGATCAAAATTAAAATACTAAAATCAAATAATATTTAAACCAGCCAGTTCTTAAAAACTACATTCGTTTGTCAGTTATCCCATCTAATCCTAGTTCTGACCAATTCACTCTCGGTTCTATGCAGAATTTGTTCTTAGTTTAGACCAAATCAATTGAATGACCGGTTCATGGTTGAACCGGCCGGTTCACTGTTAAACTGACCAGTTTGGTTTATCTTTTAAAACCACAAATTTATGATATTAAAATATTATAAATATAAATATTAAATTTTCGATATGAGTTGTGTAAATACAGCGGTATTGTATGACATACATATATAAATTTCCAAATAAATTAATATTTTTATTTTTATTTTTTTATAAAATTATGAGTACTAAAACACAATAACCATATATAACATATTAAACAATAATTTGGTGTCAATGGTAAAACAATATTTAATTTCTCATATTTGCATGTGAGGGGGCATAATAACAAAAATAAGAAATTCCTTAAACAAAATTGTGGCTCATTCTATTAATCCATATATTCCTGATTTAATAATTTCAAATGTCTCCTTTTTTTTATAAATTAAAATCTTTATTGGAATAGTTTTTCATAATAGAAATAAAAAAAAAAGAAAATTATATTAAAATTTGACCTTTTTTTCATTAATAAATTTATCACATATAATATATGGCATTCAAATCTTTTATATCTTGCTAAGCATGTCATAATTTAAATTTTAAGAAAGTAGGCATATACATAAATAATAGAAATTTAGGGGTATGTATGTAAATCTCTCATAATCTTTTGAACATTTTAAACACCATGATGATCTACTTAATTTAAGAGAAAAATTTACCTACGTAAGACGTGTGCAGTGCTGCGTACGTCAGAGAGATTATTCAAAGGGTATTGGAGGGTTATATCCACACTATGCCCCCCGTAACTTTCCTGTAATTTACATATAATCTACAAATATATGAAACAGAAGCGGAAAGCTTATTAGAAGGTACATGTAGGTTACAAAGAGGTTATAAATGGTATAATGCGGATATAATCCCTCAATACTCTCTGAATAACCTCATTTACATACGCAATACTGCGTAATTTTTCTCTTAATCTAGCAGAGTGCTTCAGTATAAGAGTTTTTTTTTTTTTTTTTTTTTTAACGTTAGTAAATAGTTATTCGAAGAAAGAGAAAGCAAAAAATAAAATAAATAATAAATAAATAAAACAATAAAAACTGTAAAAGCAGAGATTACTACAGGCCTAGAACTGTTATTGTTGTCGCCGAAATCAGAACGCGATTTGAAATTAATTTGACACGTGGCATGCAGAGGAAATAGAAAGATTTACATACATACCACTCAACTTTTATGTATTTACAAATCTCACACTCAATTTTACATGTAAAAAAAAGTGATATTTTTGTGATATTAAAGATTTGAGTGGCTTAGATGTAAAAAATAAAACTTACATGGTAGATACATAAATACATAAAAAATAAGTGGTATATATGCAAAAGCCCGAATAATTTAATATTTGAGAGGATAAGATATTCGATATATTATAAGCGTTTAAATTCAAATTTATTGATATTTTTAGGGTTTTAAAAACAAAGAGATCCACCTCTTAAGATTTAATGGGATTGAATAGTAGTGATGAGCTCAAATCAAATTAAATTCAAAATTATTAAAATAAGATTAATTTGAATTTAAATATCTGCCAGCTTCACTGAAAATAAATAAAT